TTCTGTTCGGTTGGGCTCAAAAACGGCTCTATTCTGTTCAAACTGTTCCTTCCTCATTTGCGAACTGTTCTATTCTATATAATGGAATAGAACAGGAATAGAACAAGAATAGAACAGTTTACCTGGAATAGAGACATCACTAGTTGAGATCCACGCTTCGCACTGACCAATGAAATGGTAGAGACCTAGGCCAGGCCGACGACCCGGTTGAGCCGGCGGTCCACTGGTCGCGATTAAGACTGAAGTCACTGTGAAAATGAATCCTCTAGCAGCTTTGGAGTGGCGATATTTATACTTTATTCTAGAGGCGAAACCACGTGTGATCATTTTTGATAATGTTGTTGTTTTGATGATTCGTGTTGTTTTGACCAAGTTCAGCTGGCTTGATGGACTCGTTGTTTTGATGATTTCAGTTGTTTTGGTGATTTGATTTGATTTTGATCATTTGATTTAATTCTGATGATTTGTTTTTGACAGATTTGGTTGTTTTGACAGTTTGAAGATTTGCGAAGATCGTTAAACATGAGCATGCTTAATTGAAGTTTAAAGGTGGGCATGCAAAACGTGTTTGCGCATTTTTATTCGCAGAGTTCGCGACAGCTGAATAATGCAAGATACTCTCCTAAGAATAAGTAAACTTGAGTCGGTGGTCATCAACGAAAATCGAAAATGGCTGATCGGTCGCTGGCCTTAGAGAACCAAAACTCGGTGCTTGATCAGTCGATGTTCGCGGAGTAAAGAATTTTGGTGGCCACCGGCCGAAAGAGACGCACTTTCGAGGCAAAATATTCTCGATTATGTGGATCACTAATTCTATGTGAATTTGATTGTTTATACCTTAATGTTTTGATGTTTTCTTAAATAATTGTTCATTCGATGTCAACAATATCATAAAAACTCGATATTGACTTCCATCGTATAGTTTTCTTCTAAACGCATTGAAGCGACTAAATTTTTGATGTGTTTATGCGGCTTGTTGTAGTAGTCATTAAAATAAACAATTATATATAGAAAGGGTAAATTCTGAAGCGTATAATCAGAACGAAAACAGTTAAACAAGAAAAACAATGTCAATTCCAATAACGATCTGACAGAATATAATGATGAAATGTGAAAAGAAAATAAATATTTAGTGCAATGCAAATGGTCTCACAATCAGTTATCAAAAATGGTCTTAACTAACTTGACAAGAATAATTGGTCGTAATTGACCGACTAATCACAACGATGCTAGATTGGAGACGTGTTGACGGCTAATTGAAGTTTGTTTGGCAATGCTATTTGATTGGTGACTAACTTTTGTTTATTAGCAGTGCGCTGCCTTGTTGAAATTTGACTTGGACAGGAAGGAGTATGTCGATCCCTATGTGGGACCTGTTTGGGTTGAGGGAAACTTGGATAGGAATACTGAGAATGGGTTTGGAACTGAGAGAATATACCCGCCTAAGGGGGGACATGCAGAGAACTTGTTTAGGAATACTGCGCTCGAATGAAAATGGTTTGCGTATTGAACGGAACTTGTTTAGGAATATGGGAATATATTTGAGTCGAGGGCAACTTAGACATGAATATTGAGGATTGTGACAGCAATGACGAGATGATTTGATGAGTTGCCGCATTGTCTGAATGACTGAAGACGTTTTGCGATACCGCGTGGTACTGAACAATCACAAGATTACCATTTTGAGGTCAGTATTGCTGGTCATAGGTGGGCAAACTGATTGGCTATGCTTTTGTTTGCGCTTGTTTCGAAACCTGCAGCTTGTTTTGGATGGAACTTGTTTCCGACTTCAAACTTGGGTAATTAAACCTTTGATAACTAGGATTCGCGTGGTTTGATTATAATTAAAACATAAACATAATACAGAGTAAAAGTGTAATGATTGCCCAACCAGTTGGTAACTACTGAAGTCATGCATATCATGAATATTGAACAAACGAAGTTGAGATATGAAGCATACAATTAACTTGAGACCAATTGCACGTTCGATACACATTAAGCGTTGTTGTGGGAGAGACATGTTGTGTATTTGTAATGAACGTAATAAGATTATGAAGGTTCATGGAATGATGAATATTTATTGTTTTGTAATCGAGATTATGTAATCGTGATGTGTATGACGGAGTATCGTGTAAAAACGTGATTGAACGATGATACGTATTTGAGTTAGAAATTTTGTAAGGTAGATTATGCTAGATGTGACTTTTGCAATTGTGATTATGTGGAATGAGTGTTTAGATTTGTTGATGTGAAGATTACTGTATTCAGAAGTAATTTGTTAAGGTGATTTGGTTAGTTGTCTTCTCTGTTTCTTCTCGGCGATCAATCGATAATCTCGACGCGCATAAAATACACACAACTTCCGAAGTAATGATTTGACAAACTGAATAGTGAACTAATTCTCGAATATGTGCTAACTGATAGAGATGGATAGACGTATCGCTGAATAATCCGATTTGCAATACTCTTTTTGAATCGAACTGAATGTTGACCGATTGCGGGAAGTCTGAGACAGGCTCATTCACGCATACTGGGAACGTTGATGAGCTGTTCATAACGACGAATTATTTGTCTGACGCAGTTTTCATCCGCTATAAAACCGAATCGATATCAAAAGCGCATTAATACAATATTCCAAAATTCGAAAAAAATTTCAAAGTACAGTTTGTCTCTGTTTTCAAACGCGAACAAACATGGGACATAAACATGGGACATAATAGTCGAAGCAATTCCGTATGAATAGGGATTTTCTCACATATTCATGAGAATTTTCTTATGACTTCAAGGAATTGAATGATTTCTGGAAAGTAGTGGCGATAGGGAGTGCGGATCTGGTGTCGGAGGCATCAAAAGCGTAATTATCGTTCAATGGAGGAGGGATAATCCTCGCTTGTCCATTAATCCTCCATAATCCTCATTGAGCACTTCGAGAATTCGACTTAATGAATTTTTCCTTCCGTGAACTCGATGAAGTAAGTGGGAACCGTGCTTAACATCTCATACCGCTCGACACGTCAGTCATAACTTAATCTGCAGTGAACTCAGTTCTCTTTGTTCAGTTTATTGAATCGGCGGGGACAATTGACTTTTTAATAATACATTGATGAAGTTCGCGATAATTCAAATTAGAGGTTGGTGGCTTTAACGGAGAGATACACACGATCTGAAGCATCGTTTGGGAATTGCTTGATTAAAGGAAATGGAAACGGGATTGCTTCAATTTCATTGCATGCAATCGTTCTGTGACAGTTTATGATGAAATGTGCACAAATCACATGCATAAATTATTCATAAATATTACATAAAAGGATTTTATCATCGATCGTTTCGTAATCGAGTGGAAAATCGATTGAGTCGGACTATGGAATGCACAATATCAATGAAAAGTTAGTTGCTGGCAGTGAATTATCGACGACGTATCAGCAATAATCATGCATAGGTACGGTTGTATGAAGAATCAATGAGATAAATCTGTTTGCAGTTATGATACGCGAATTGACACGATACAGTCCGCTTTATCGATTCAACACATCGGCTCAATAAAGGAATATCACTGGAAGGACGCAATACGACCCAACAAATTTGCACACAAATTCCGTTCCAGTTATGCATGAAACTGCCGCCTTTTATAGGATGGCGAATGCAATCGAGCAAAATCACAAAAACTAAGGCGTTTACAGTTACTCAGTTACTACAGTTACTAGGTTGGAGAAGAAGTTACAGATTTAGGGACATTCTTTACGTACACTGAGAGCAATGCCTCCCTGGTATCTGTAAAACATTAGATGCTTGGGAAAATGCATGAAGTTGCGTGAATGCATGAAAAAAAAATGCATGAAAAAAAAGCATCACTTACAAGAAATTAGTTCCATTCAAGAATGAATAACTGTTACTTACGGATGAAGGGGATTCGAATTACTAACAAAATGTGAAAATAATGCGCTGGAAGCTTGGCGCGCTTTTTTATTTAATCACCTGTTCGAGATTTGCTCAGCGTGCACTATTTAGCTTTGAGAAACAATATACTATGGAGGGTTAACGTAATCCTAAAGTAAAGAGCTGTTCTCGTGCAAATAACGACAAATATCCCTTACTTTTTGCATTAAACTGAGGCAAAACTTTAA